CTTAGATAATATGATGTCTATCGTTGATCCTTAGGGTTGATCAAAATATGAACGGTAATTGACGGATTTCATTTTTTTGCAGTATTCTCACTACCTAGAATGGATATGAAATATATTCGTTCAGTTGAAGGCAATAGCATACTTTTTCGTTTTGTAATCTGTGCGTAAATAAGGTAATATCCATGTGGGTGTAGAAAAAATGTATTTTTAAACACATTTTATTTTTTTTATGATGAAATATTTTAGCTATAAGACAAAAATTGCTAAGTAATTTGTTAACTTCATCTTGTCTGGTCTCAAATCTCAAATTTTGAGATTCAAGTGTGTTTTTAGGGTAATTAGAAAGAGATGGGTAAAGACAAAGACAAATTTCTCCCTCTTCTCGATCCTTCTGCTCTGAGAACATCGAGTTCGCTCTATGTTCTCGCTCCAAAGCGAAACACTTTTGAGATCGCTCGGAGTGTCATTTCAAACGCGTATGCAGCGCTCGGAGATCACCGATAATCAAATCAAACGCACCATTTAAATACAGGATTTGACAGTTTTGACTCGGAGCTAACCGAAGTGAACGAGAAATGTTGGCGCAGAAAATTAATTTTTCTATCTATTCTAGGTAGTGAGAATACTGCAAAAAATTAAATCCACCAATCACAGTTCATATTTTAGACACACAAATACTATTATTTATAAAATTTTAAATAAGTGACGATTCTGTGAAACTCATTTTTTAGTTATTAAGATTAAATTTACATTAAAATGAGTTATTTTTTTATAGAATCGATAAATAATAGTATTTTTACTTTAATTAGGTCCACAATTTAAATAAAAACAAATTTTAATCAAACTATATAAAACTAATTTAATTACGAGTATTAAAACCTAAATCGCGACTGCTTTCCACACGGAAAGACCGGGTTCGAATCTGGGCTGAGACTAATTAAATTAAATCTTTTTTTTTTCATGTGTATTTTATTTTATAAATTAGTAAAATTCATAAATTATTTTAAAATTAGTTATTTTGCCTTAATCCACTAAAATATTTTTTTTAAATTTTCGTTAGTAGGTTGCAGCAAACTTATACTGTACAACTCGAAGGATTGTCCACATCGAATGAAACTTCGTCTTCGTGCGATATGGTCATCATATCTACTCTTGTGGCACAAACTACTATTATAGATGCTAACAAAAATTTCACGTAAACATGTAGTTTAATATTGTAAATAGGTGTTGAAATTTTGTAAAATAATTTGGGATATTATTACTTATTTAAATAATTATTTGTAGCCCATAAATAGACACGTTTGCTCGATTCCGCAGGTAATAATTTAAAATGTTTGTATTTTTATTCTATGATACGACTGTGGTGAACAAACATTACCGCGAAAGTCTTTGAAACTTCTGACCTGCTATAACAAAATGTTAAACAGTCACCGAAAGACGTGAAAGACTTCCATTCTGTATTGTTTATTAAAATAAATAACGTTAAGACAAAGAAATCGCTCGAAAAAACTTTTCGAAAACTTCGTGCGAACTTGGATCGCAATCATAATTGTTAAGTTTAAGTTGTAAGTTAGACCTTTGATTGGTACAGTAATAAATTGGAATGCCGACAAGTGTGTCCCAGAACTTTCAAAAGTTAATTATATCGGACTAATCGAATAGGTAACGTGATTTGACGTCATCATCTTAGATCTTAGAAATTTGTTTGTAAAGCTAATTGCTTGCTAGATTGACAAAGGCACTAGTTGGGATTCCCGAAATACAGTATATGTAGGTAGGTATGGTGAAGTAATATGCGTACCTTAACAATTTAACTATCAAATATTTTGACTAACATCACTTTTTAATATTATTAATTAGTTACTTACAGACACGTTAGATATTTCTAATTGAAATATAGCTTTAAATAAGAAGTTTTGAAGGATATAGTAACCAATTTTTTAACACAAAATACACTACTCCAACACATCAATAAGAAATGCTTAAAAAACTGCCTATTTGCTCAATTTAAGAAATATCATGATGTGTTTTTTTTTACTTCAAAAGATGATTACTAGGTTAATTGCAGGTCTTGTAAAGACCTTCTTCTAAATTTTAAGATTTCAACACTTTTTTTTGTCTATATTTGAATTACATATCTATATTTTTAATAATAAGAGCCAAACTACTTAATAGAGATTTTCGTAACAAAAATTATATCCTAAACTAGCTTTTGCTCGCGGCTCGGCACGCATGGTGTCGTGTTTATAATTTAATAAAATGAATGGTTATTAATTTTAATAATTTTTATTTATTTTTTAATTTTTATTTATTTTTATTTATTTTAATTTATTTTAATTTATTTTAATTTATTTTAATTTATTTTAATTTATTTTAATTTATTTTAATTTATTTTAATTTATTTTAATTTATTTTAATTTATTTTAATTTATTTTAATTTATTTTAATTTATTTTAATTTATTTTAATTTATTTTAATTTATTTTAATTTATTTTAATTTATTTTAATTTATTTTAATTTATTTTAATTTATTTTAATTTATTTTAATTTATTTTAATTTATTTTAATTTATTTTAATTTATTTTAATTTATTTTAATTTATTTTAATTTATTTTAATTTATTTTAATTTATTTTAATTTATTTTAATTAGTGTATGATCTTTTCGAATTGCATTAGTTTATTCCGTGTTGTCCTAAGATTTAAAAAATGCCGCATCAATATTCTAATCGAGAATACTGCGACAAGGTATTTGTTTATGGTTTTTGCAATGAACACCAAGAAATAAGATTTTTGAACAATGATATTGTCAATATAGTAGAGGCTAATACACAGATAAGTACCCGAAGAATTAGTCACGCACTGAACATACGACATTCTACTGTTTGGAGGCGATTAAAGAAACACTAACCATCCAGGTCACCTGATCTAAATCCTCTAGACTATCACGTTTGGGGTTACCTAAAATCAAGACATCAACTTCTTCAAAGAATACATAATTCTTGCGAAGAGTTAAAAATCAATCCAAATGTTTTGAGAAGATCGGTTCGCAATTCGATAAAGGGAGCCAGATTATGTTTGGAACAACATGGAGGATATTTTTTACAATTATTAAAATAAATTCATTTTATTCGGAATTGTTAATTATTAGGTATTTTGTATTATTTATCGTCAATACATAGTATTACTTATTTAGTTTAAATCATTTTTTAGTGTTTCTATATGTATTTCATATTTTTTTATCGTTGTCGCATTTTCCCAATTCGTGTGGGGATACCACAATAAAAAAACGCCACATGTATTCTACCTCTTGGGTGTGGAAATTAAATAATTAATGATTAATTATTAAATGAATATAAAATATTTTTAAATTTTCTTAAGTACGGATCTGTAATTGTAATTTTTATTAGTTTTTGTAAATGTTACTTCAAATTTAAGCAGTTTTTTTCGGGAATTTTCATGAAAAAAATAAGAAAAAATTAATTTTAATAAAGAAAAAATAATTAAAACCCCTTCAACTACATTTTGCATAGACTAAAATTCACATAATGTACATTTTAACGTTAAAAATTTGGTAGTAAAACGGCATGCAGAAAAATAAAAAATTGAAAAATGTTTTCAGTTTTTAATGCTGTTTACAAATTTGAAATTCAATTTTTAAAAATTTGATGTATAGGGTGTTGTTATAGGGTGGGTCAAATTTTAATAATTTTCGTTAAGCCGGACCTGGATTTGGAAATTTTTAATATGTCGATAAACTGCCCTATAGGTGAAGATTATCTATGCCAAATATGAATAAAATATAGTGAGCGATTCAAAATTTATGGAGCGCGGAAGAAATGGGCCAAATTCAAAAAAACCACACTGTAACTCGGTTATAAAGGTGGAAAAACCCATAATATATGGGTTTTTGTGATCCCCTGGGTGACCTATATATAGGGTTAAAATATGCCCCTTTCCCAATGAAGCACCCTGTACAGGGTGAGTAATCTACAAAATTTCCCATTGGACTGAAAGTAGTTAAATTTATACCCTCCAAATCTATTTTTAATTTAATTGCATTTTTATGTTTACAAATTAATAAATTAAAGTATTTTTTTTTGTTTAATACAAATGTATTTCCATTTTAGTAATAAATGTGGAAACTAGTACCTACTAGTGTTTGTTATATTAAAAAACTTTTTAACTACAGTTTTATCGACTATAATATTTAACGTAAAGTTATTTATGAAAATTATCCAAAGAACTACTTATAAATATGTATTTTCCCGTAATCATTTTTAACTAATCAGTGATGATGATTTTTTTAATTTTGTCGATAAAAATGCTTGAATTTAAAATTAATTTTAAGTAAATGACATGAGTAATATTTTTTCTTATAAATCACTATTTCGATGGTTTAGTTTTGAAACTATAGCACTCTGTTATTTCACATGAAATTAATCAATACTTCTTTGTTGTTTCTGATTATATAATAAAGTGAAATAAACATAAATTATTTGAATAAATATAAGTAGGTAGGTGCATTTAAATTTTTATAAAATCCCAATTATACACGTATTATTTGTTACCATTTAATATGTATAGAATACGTGTGTTATAGTTAACTTTTGGACTATCTAGAAATACGATATGTTTAAATACGATAAGCAATTGAAAATAAGCAAAAAGTAAATTGTTCGAGGAAGCTCGAGAGAAACATGAAATTCTCGTCGAAAGAAGACACTGTCTCGTCTCGAATCTGTTTTCGAGCGAAAATGTCTCTCTCGTCGAGACGTGACGAGACGAGAGACGGCATCACTAGTAATTTACCCGAGACAAATAATGAAATAGTCTTATTATAGTGTTAAGTAACAATTATGTACCTATTTTAAACATTTTTTGCATAATTTTTATAGTAAAAGAAAGTCTTCTTTCGATATATGGCAACACTGTTGTTCCTGAAATTTTCCTATTGTCTATTATTTTGACATCGTAATATAATAGCATAAAAAATACTCACGAATAAGGCTTCCTCTTTCTAGTTGAGCTAGATAATGAGCTGCTATCATCCAAGGCTGATCCCAAATTTTGATTTGATTGGTAGGACAGATTAGAAGAACAAGGATCACTGTAACACAAAAAAAGATGGATAAGTATACCCTATATCTAGGACTAGAAATATACATGATTGTGAAATATTTTTAATAACTAAATTAAAACAAGACTTTCGTTCCAAAAGTATATTAAAATACAAGTTGCAGATGGCCACATATTCCCGCACGAATTCGAAATTTGGCCACGAGCGACGAAGGAGTGAGGAGCTAGAAGAAATAAACTATAAATAAATTAAACGTTACAATATTTTTTTTAATTTTTCATGTACCTATGTGATGGTTAAAATTATACGCTTTTACTTAAGGTAAGGGTATTACTGAGGCCCTTCCTGTGGGGCCTCAGTATTGCATTCGTGTAGTCGAAAAAAATTTCTTGCTCCCATTTTTCTATTATTCTGAGCTCGAAAATGCAAAAAAAAATTCGTCTGGTCGTCTGTGTGTATGTATGCAGGCACAATAACTCTAGAACGAAAGTTCGAATTGACTTGCGGTTTTGATTTTCTTGAAAAATTGCTTCTAACTTAGAACCCTATTGATTTTCAGAATTTTCGGTTCATCCTAACTACTTTAATATCATTGTTCTTAAAATCCGCCTATGCATATGTAACTTATTTTACACATTCCAATCATTCCTAACGTCTAACATTCCATACATTCCAAACATTCATTAGAATTTAGAATTATATCTGTCATGCTCTGTCAATACAAATTAGCGCGGTGTTGCCAAGTATCTAATTAAAATCAACAAAAAAGAAATATCAAAAAATACCTTATTTTTGACATAACATTTCCATACTCTTTAAAAAGCAGTTCTATTAATTTATTTCCGGTTGTAGTACATAATTTTTAAATATTAATATTACGTCATCTATAAAGTAATATACAATGTACTTTTCGAAAACTATGAAACATAATTACTTTATGTTATCCAAAAGTTTTTAAAACTTTTTGAATCAAGTGAATTTATTTGTTTGATAAATGACGCTAGCCAGTCAAGTTAAAAGAGTACTATCAACAAAACGATAGCTGAATTAGTTTAATTTGTGCTGAGTTAACTGTGACGTCACTCGGTGGATACTTTCATGGCATTTCTTTATAAGCTTACCACAACATACTTGGTTACAGTAATGTGGTTACTGTGGTGACGTCACACATACCGTGGTAAACTTTTATATAATGTCGTCATATATCAAATTTAATTTAAGTTTGGGGATTTCTAAACGGAATTTCGTTTAGCCGAAATCAGTTACGTAAAAATTGTTGCCATGGCAACCGTTGTCATGGTAACCAGTAAACACAAACCCAAATCCCGTGGTGAGGAAATGCATAGTTGTCAAGTTATAGATCATTTAATGGTCACTTTACTGTAGACGAAATCAGTTATGGTGAAACTGTTGCCATGGGAACGCTTGACATAGTGATGACTAAACAAAAAACCAAATCTCGTGGTGAGAAAAGTGTGGTCGCCTTAGTTAATTTAGCTGTAATCAGTTACGGAGAAACTGTTGCCATAGCGACCCTTGTCATGGTAACGACGTTTCGAAATTCGCGCGAATTTGATTCATTTCATTTCATAAAATTTTATTCAAAATTGTTTTGCAAACCTATCAGGAAACTAAATATTAGTATGTTACGTTACTTTCTGTACAATTTAAAAAAAGGTGTATCGATGTACGTTTTAAATGGGATGACTTTTAAAGTATTCACTGAGTGACGTCACAGTTAACCCAACACAAACTGAACTAATTCAGCTATGCCTTTGTTGATAGTATAGTCTTTAAATTTGGCTAGCTGGCTTTATTTTGTCAACCAAATAAATTCACTTGTTTTAAACTTTTGGATAATACAAAGTAATAATAAAATTATGTTTAAAATTTTTCGAAAAGTACTTTGTTTATTACTTTATAGATGATGTAATATTAATATTTAATTATTATGTACTACAACAATTCAATCAAAATGAATAAATAAATCGTCAGATGTGACTGAAAATAAATTGTAGAAGTGCTTTTTAAAGTGTATGGAAATGTTATGTCAAAAATAAGGTATTTTTTTTTAATTTCTTTTTAGTTGATTTAAATTAGACACTTGGCAACACCGCGCATATTTGAATTGACAGATCATGACAGATATAATTCTAAATTCTAATGAATAAATACATAAATGATTACTTATGTAATGATCCTCATATGCCTGTAATATGTAATTAAAAAAAAAAACGTTAATTTATGGGGTTTCCTGTTGTTACACTACACCCTGCAGTGGCCTGCGGCCGTTATAGGAAACGTACAAATATGAAAAGAAGTGCAATGTCACCCATCACACTATAGTGTGCTGCGGTCGTTATAAGTACAAGTAAAAGAAGATGGAATAGTCCCGAAATGTCTGGAAATGTCATTACCCGTCAAGAATATTCTAGATGACACTTCAAGAAGGTTCGAGAAGGCAATCAAGCTATATAAGGATGATCCTGACGTCAGTTTTTCAGTTTTATGATAGACGTTACACGTTAATGTTATCAGTTGCATTGTTATTGTTAAAGTTCAGTTAAAATAAATTGTGATACCAAAAACCAGTGTAACACTGTTATATATTTGAAAAATACTGTCCTTTCTATAGTCTAAGATATAAGTTTTGTAAAAAAAAATATATTTTTAAGAAAGGGCGTCTTTGCAATCTTTACCAAAATCCTACTTACAAAACGGTGCAAAATTGGTATCATTCATGAAAAAATTTAAACTTGGGATTAAGGTCAGGAGAAGCAGAAAGTAATGGCAGTAAAATTATAAATTATACATGTTTCATCAGTGATTCGACATGCTAATATACTAATATAAAATTTAAGTTGCATTCATAATAGGAATAACGGGTGCTTGTCGGGCTAATGAGATTTATTTCATGAAAATTAGTAATATGCAAGACCTTGGATCAACTTTTTTAATAAGAATCAGACGATAAAAATTGATTAAGGTTTTTCTTCATAGATTACAATTAGGTATTTATTTCTTAAAGTCTTTAATAATAGGCATAATGGAAGCTTGTCCGGCTAATGAGATGCATTGCATGAAAATTAGTGATTTACAATACCGTAGGCTTTTTTAGTAAATTTTCCCAAAACCAAGACGAAAACAACTCGAAAATTTTTAATTACCAATAATTTTTAAAAAATACATCAGTAGTCGTCCAACACGACTATTTTTAAACTATCAGAACGATAAATGCACTGCCCAAAGAATTGGTATTAATAAATTTATCAAAATGAAAAAAGATGTCGCTTTTTTAAAACAATTTTAAATTTTTATACGTAGGTAGGCTTAAGCAACAATGGGTGCAAATATTTTTACATGAACAGATCTAAGGGAGTAAAGGGATCATATTTTTTTATATGGACATATTTAAAAGAGACCAAATATTTTTAGATAAATAGGCGAAGTAAGGAGCCCAAATATTTTATATGAGCAGCAGGCTTAAGAGGTAAAGGGGCCAATTATTATTAGATAAATTGCTCGAACAAGTTTGTAATCACATGGTTTGACCTAAGTAATGCCAATCCTTCACAAACCAGAAAATTCAACGTCCTAATACTACTATCGGCTTTCGGTATTTCGTTCCAAGTTAAATCATTTCTCCTTTTTTTACGCTACGAGTTTACCCTTGTGGGCCTCAGTCTCAATTATGTAGAAACCACCATTTTAGCCAAAGTAGTTTGTGCAACAAGAGTGGATATGGACACGAGTTGTACATTATCTATATTTTATTTACGAACCACTAACGAAAATCTACAATGTTAAAAATTATTTTAGGTTATAAACTAATTTAAAAATAATTTATGACTTTTACTAATTTATAAAATAAAATAAACTTAAAAAAATATTAATTTAATTCAATCGTAGATTTGAACCTGGGACCTCCCGCACGACATCTACATGCGCTGGTCCATTGACACACTAGTTTTAAAACTCGTAATTAAATTGATTTCATATAGTTTATTAAAATTTATGATTTATTTGTATAGACGAAATAAAACTAGAAATGCTATTATTTATCGATATCAATATCGATCTCAATACAATAATTGGGAAATAAACATACCTACATCACTGAATCATCAAGGATGCTTGTGTGATGTTTAAAATATACATATCAGTGGCGGCTGGTGGCCTATTCTACGAGGAGGCTGTCACACCCTATATACTTAATACAAAATATATATTTCTATTAGAATACAATGTAATATTTCTGCTTTTTGTATTCTAAAATGATTATAAAATAATAACATGTATATATTTTAAAATTATCTTATTTTTATATCACACTGGCCAGTGATCTATATTAATATGTATTATAAAATTAAAATGTAGGAAGATTGAGAAAAAATGTTTATTTATTTTTCTTCTTATTTTTTGGACCTATAACGATTTTTACTTTCCTATCTGTATACAGATATAAGGAAAGTATAGGAATCATGATTTTTTTCGACCTCGAGTTTTCGACGGATTTTTACGTTTTGAGGTCCCCTGAATCCGTTTTGACTATGTTCGCGATGATGTGTGTGTGCGTGTGTGTGTGTGTGTGTGTGTGTGTGTGTGTGTGTGTGTGTGTGTGTGTGTGTGTGTGTGTGTGTGTGTGTGTGTGTGTGTGTGTGTGTGTGTGTGTGTGTGTGTGTGTGTGTGTGTGTGTGTGTGTGTGTGTGTGTGTGTGTGTGTGTGTGTGTGTGTGTGTGTGTGTGTGTGTGTGTGTGTGTGTGTGTGTGTGTGTGTGTGTGTGTGTGTGTGTGTGTGTGTGTGTGTGTGTGTGTGTGTGTGTGTGTGTGTGTGTGTGTGTGTGTGTGTGTGTGTGTGTGTGTGTGTGTGTGTGTGTGTGTGTGTGTGTGTGTGTGTGTGTGTGTGTGTGTGTGTGTGTGTGTGTGTGTGTGTGTGTGTGTGTGTGTGTGTGTGTGTGTGTGTGTGTGTGTGTGTGTGTGTGTGTGTGTGTGTGTGTGTGTGTGTGTGTGTGTGTGTGTGTGTGTGTGTGT